CTAATCCCGACTGGAGGAGGGCTGGTGCCACGACCCACAGCAGCTCCTTGGGGGGATGCAGCTCTTGGCTTTTCTCTTCAGCTGCTGCTTCCTGACTCCTCAAATCCCTTCTCTGTCACTGGTTTTGTTTCCTGCCCTTGCAGTGGTAACAGGAGGAAAAAGCTGAGTTTGACCACATCCATGAGATGTCAAGCATTTAGACTTTATTGGTTTAGAAGCTTACTAAATTTAAACAGAAGCATTAACATGGCCTTAGGCTCTCTTGACAGTTATAAACTCTTCCTTGGGGGGATTTCTGTAATGCTTTCTAATCAGCTTAAGGAGTTAATTAAACAGCTGTCACTTAGCTGCTTAATTCTGAGACTTGATGCTAAATAAGATTTGAAATTAGTTATGCATGACTGAAGCATGGATCCTCTGATACGAGCAGGATGGCTGTGGTTGAACAGGAGGCAAATCTAGGTCTTTTTTACCTAAATAGTCAGGAGATTCAAGGTGGGACCCTGGATTAGTGCTCTACATGCTGATTAATAGAAAATACATTAAAAAGAGGAGAATGGAGAATGTTAAGGAATGTCAGTGGGAGGGATTTTCAGGCAGCTATTCAGTCTCTTTGTGCATGCTCTGGCCTTCAGGAGATTTCAGGGATCAGTTTATTCTCTTCCTGATTGCACTCTGTACATAATCCAGGAGCCAAAATACCTATTGACACCCAAGAGGAACATTCTTGATTTTTGAAATTAGATTTTCAGCCTGCAGATATATTGCAGTGCTCTAATGAAGAATGTCTCTGGAGATCTGCTGTGCTTCTAGAACATGAGCTACAGTGGCGTGGGGAGTTTTTAATCTCCTTTTCCCTGTGCACTGTGGTAGGACAAGCCCTTCTCCTCCTGGAGGGGGTGAGTGTGCTGGATGGAAGCGTGCCCTTCACTGCAAGAGAAAAGCAACAACACGTGTTCTTGGTGATGGATGCAGTGATTAACCCAGTGGTAGATGTGGCTGGGCAGGAGGCAGTGATGAGCATCTCCAGGCAGGCTCAGACCAAACTGCCAGGGAGAGCCTCCCGTGGGGCCCTGAGGTTCAGACAGGACCCCTTGGGTCCCAGACTGAGAGTGGAGCTCAGGTGCAGCTGGAGCAAAGCTAGAGTCAGTCTTGCACTGATGCTTTCAAAAGTGACATATATACATGTACACCCACAGACATTAGGAAATACTGTCTGTCTATACACAGACAACAGAAACAGAATTTTGGGAAGATTTATAAAGATATTGTAAAGCCCTTCTTTTCACCCTCGGAAAGACAAGGCAAAAGATGTCTGAAGGGAAATTAAATTTCAGGGAAGCTACCTATTAAAATTGAAAAAACCTAATAGGTATTCACTTCTGCATTTCAACTTAAATTGATGCTTTCTGTGTACATCTTCTGAGTATGTTTCTGCTGGAGGGCTTAATATGCTCAGTTATTTAATCTGAATCTCTTCAGTAAGCAAAGAACACTCGCTCTGGCATCTTTTTTAAAGTATTACTGTTTATTTACTGTGGTAGCAATTTCAGAATAAAGATTACCTGGTCTTCCATTTCTATTACATGCAAAGACATGTTTTTCTCTGATTATTTCATTTTATTGTTGGAGGGGCTCAGTGTAAGTGAATTATAGAGATATGCTGTGTTAATAGTTAGAGACAGTTCAGCACCTTTTTAATAGCTGCTGAGGGAATCAACTTTTACCAGTGACACTCTGGCTGTAGCTTAGCAAGAGCATAACTATTCCCATCCTGAGTGCCCTGACATCTTATCTCCTGTAATCTGTGTTAGTTATAGATAAAGAACATCATATTTCTTCAGGAAATTCGTTTTCCACTCAAGCAGCAAAAAGCAACAGTTATAAATTAGTAACTATTTAGATTTACAGCTTTTACATGCTGAGGCTCTGAGCTATAAATCTGAGCGTGGCTAAGTAGGTATCATGTTTGTTTCCTCAGAATGAAGCAGTTTTCACGTTTCATGTTCAGCCCTTCCTGGCTGTTACCCAGGTGCCTGCAGAGCATTTCCCTGTGCCCTGCAGGCTGAGCTGCTGGAAATGCTGCTCTGCTCCCTGCTTTGGGGGTGCAGAGCAGGGCCTGAGGAAACAAACCATCCTGCAGGGTCCCCCTGTGGGGAGGGACAGGAGTCCCTGCAGGCAGAGCTCACAGCCCGGTGACTGCGGGGCAGGACAGCCCAGTGACACCCAGTGCCACCCAATGCCAGCCCAGTGCCACCCAGAGCCACCCAATGCCACCCAGTGCCACCCAGTGACACCCAATGCCAGCCCAGTGACACCCAGTGCCACCCAGTGCCAGCTCAGTGACTCCGAGGCAGGACAGCCCAGTGCCACCCAGTGCCACCCAATGCCAGCCCAGTGCCTGCCCAGAGCCACCCAATGCCAGCCCAGTGCCACCCAGTGCCAGCAGGGCTGGGCACAGCACTGCCAACTGCAGTCTCCTGCAGGGGCTCTGGGCAGGGCGTGCTGCAGCTCCCGGGCTCAGAGGGGCTGCAGGGCAGGGCAGTGCCAGAAGGGCAGGGCAGTGCCAGAAGGGCAGGGCAGGGCAGGGCAGTGCCAGCAGGGCAGGGCTGGGCTGGGCAGGGCAGGGCAGGGCAGTGCCAGCAGGGCAGGGCTGGGCAGGGCAGGGCAGTGCCAGCAGGGCAGGGCAGTGCCAGAAGGGCAGGGCAGTGCCAGCAGGGCAGGGCAGGCAGTGAGCAGCAGATCCCAGCCAGGGGCAGGGAGGCTGCACTGGGATGCACTCTGTGTTCTGAGCATCCAAAGCCAGCCCTGGAAAACTCAGAGACTCAAAAGAAATGCAAGGAGCTTCTGAGAATCATTCTCAGTTCCTGGCTCTTACCAGGGGAAATTGCACTTGCCTTTGGTAAGCAGAACTCATTAATCACACTGCTTCAAAGGCCTGGTTATTAAAGTTCCCTTTGCTTTATAAAATAATTGTGAGGGTCACACTAATGGAGCCAGGGGAGGAGGGAGCTGTGGCTCGGGGGATCAGGGGAGAGCTCTTAGCTCAGCTGGAGGTGTGAGCAGCTTGGGAGGTGCTGTGCCTCCAGCAGCCGCAGGGAGATGAGATTGGTGCCCGAGTGCTCGCAGGGCACTGCCAGCAGCCCTGGCACTGGCTCTGTGACTGCAGGGCTTGTGCTGCCAGCTGCAGCTCTGCTGAGCCCACGGCAGCAGCAAAAGGTGCTCAGGAACCTGGGGGCAGAGCCCAGACATGGGAAAAACCCAGAACCTGGAAACTTCATTGCAAACCTGAGAACTCGGCAGCCTGAGCAGCATGTTCTGCACTGAGCAAATGTGTGATCAGGGCAGGCCTGAGTGTACAGGCAGATATTCTCACCCTTGCATGAATTACATTTTCAAAATATCTGAAGGGCTTTTGTGCTGAGGGAGGAAGAGGATTTTCTTCTCAAGTTCTCTTTTTGTGAAATCCTCTTTCTCCCTTCCCTAAAGATCACAGTGAGGATGGGGCAACCTTAGCAAAGCAGCTATCAAGTGACCAGGAGGGGTTTTTTCTTTCTTTAAATATTGCTTTGAGTCTGAATAAAGTGTGTCTGTTTCTTTAAGTAAGAGGGAAAGGTCTTTTTGATGTGAATACTTTAGAGGAGAAAAATCTCAGCTTCTCCCCTTTAGCCCAAGAGGCAGTAGGAGCAGTCATCATCTTCTGCTAACTTGGTTCCAATCCCCACTCTCTTGTCTTCCAGGAGTAAAATCAGGTCAGTCTCAGAGCTCATAGTTGGAGCTATTTAGATAATGAGAATTTAGCACTTGGGGGGCTTTGGGAGCCTTTATTGCACAAGAGCCAGCTGAAATCAAGGGCCTCTTGTTCTACAGGATGGTCCCAGCTTCACAGGCACAGCTCTGAAGGGCTCAGAGACCTTTCCAGAGATGAGCAGGATCTTGCAATTCGGGGTGGGAGGACTCGGGTACCAGCAGTTTGTGCTCAGTGTCCTGGCAGAGATCAGCCAGTCTGTGGTGCCAGACAGAGGTGACACCTGGTGACAGAGAGCTCTGGTCAGTCTGATGCTCTTCAGGTAATCAGAACTCAGCACTTTGAAATAAGAACTGCTAAATCAAACAGCAGGAATGTGTTTTGCAACAGGCACTGGTCACCACAGAGCTGGTGGTGTTTGGTGAGCCCCAACCCTCCCAGCAGCCCTCCTCTGTCTGAGAGAGGCTGGGTTTGCACAGACCCCTTTGGAGGTAAAGAAAGAGGTGTGGGGAGGTGCTTGCCCACCAGGAGCCAGGGTGAATCCTAGAAAACTGAAGAGGGTGTGATCCCACCCAGTCCTGTGGTGCACAGTCACTTACCCAGGACCTTAATTCCCCTGGAGGCAGAGCAGGGAAGGCACGGTGCTGTCAGGGGAGCAGTGGCACTGCCCCACAGGCTCCTGGGCTCTGACCTCGCCAAGACTGCACCCCCAAGAGCAGCTCAAACCCTGCCCCTGAGCTGTGCCCACGTGCCAGCCTGGGTGCCCAGGCAGAGGGCACTCCCAGCATGGAAGGCCAGTGTGTGTAGGAAACCTTTCAGAAAAGGGGGAAAGCAGCAAGACTTGAGACATTTTTAGGTGATGATCAAGGTGAGCTCAGGCTGGAGGTGTCCCTGCTGCCACGTCCAGGTGTGTTTGTCCCTGGGCTGCAGAGTCACTCGGGTGCTGGCTGCTCTGGCCCTCAGGGAGCAGCAGTTCCTGCAGCAGGCAGGGCACACAGCAGGGCACCACAGCAGGGCACAGACAGCAGGCAGGGCACAGACAGCAGGGCACAGACAGCAGGGCACACAGCAAGCAGGGCACCACAGGTACCTCAAGAGCCCTGAATCACAGCTGGAAATCTCCTGTCCTGCCTGCTGCACTGGGAGCAGTCCTTGCCATAGCCATGAGGAACTGAAGCTGGATCCAGGTGGTACTAATGAATTAATAGCAGAATATACATACTAAGTGGTCTTTTGTTTCCTTTTCTCTTAGGAAGCAGAGATCCTGAACACGGCTATTCTCACAGGGAAAACAGTGGCTGTCCCTGTCAGGGTGGTTTCTGTGGAAGATGATGGGACTGTGACAGATCTTGTGGACTCTGTGGAATGCAGGTCATCAGATGAAGACGTCATTAAGGTAGGATCAGGCTGCTCCTTCCACAGAGGCAGAGGACGTGCAGAGCACTGCTGTTCTCTGATGGAACAAGTTCTTTCATTTTCTGACTGCTCTGCTGCTGGAACCAAGATTTATTATTGCTGTTATTGCTGTATAGCTCGCTCCAGTGAAGCAACAAACCAAACACAAAATCCCAATTTCCCGTCCTGCTCGTCAGACCCGTGGGATTGTCTGACACTTCCCACTTGGGAAGCATTTCCAGAGCTGCCTCTCCCTGTGCCTCTGCAGTTCCACGGGCTGTACAGGAGTGCTGGCAGTGCTCTGCTCCCTGCTGGGGCTCAGCGTGTGCTCTCCTGGCCAGAGCCAGGGGACCAGGTCCTTTTTGGGACCTTGGGGGGGTCACACTGGAGCCTCAGGGGCATCCCTGCTCCTTGGAGGCTTTCAGCAAGTACCACATCACCACTGAAATCCTGCAAGGAATCAATCCTGCATGCTTCTAGCTGCTGGGTGAACGGTGAAGAGGCAGGAGCTGTGATGGGGGCAGATAAGGTACAGAGGATTCCAGCAGGTGACACAAGAGGTGCCTGGTCTGCAGCAGCTTTTATCTTTTCACAAACTCTCTGTGCCTGTCACTTGAGAGAGGAAACAAGAGATGCAGCTACAAATGAAAGTCAAAATTGAAGTTTGAAATTTTTTTTTTATAACCAGTATGTCTCGAAACTATCACAAAGCCTCCAGGCCACCCTTCCAGTGGAGGGAATGGAATTCCCAGTGGAATTCCCTCCCAGCTGCTGGGAATGGCTGCAATCCCATCACCTCCAGGAGCTGCTCCTTACTGGGACCTGGCCGTGCCCAGAGCTGCCTGGCTCCTGGGGCTTCAGCTTTGCCTCCCCTGGGCTCAGCTTTGCCTCCTTTGGGCTCAGCTTTGCCTCCCTTGGGCTCAGCTTTGCCTCCTTGGGCTCAGCTTTGCCTCCCTGGGGTGCTCTGGCGTTGGGCTGCAGCAGCCCAGGGCTGTGAGCAGCTCCAAAGCCTCCCTTGGAGCCCCAGCAGCTCTCACCACCCTCCTGGGGCACTTTCTGCCTCTCTGGGCACGGGTGAGTAGTTGCTGTCCTTTGGGAGGTTCAGACACACCCACAGGTTTGGTGGCTTCCTGTCACAGAGGCAGTGACAGCTCGGGCAGAACGAGTGAAGAACAGAGCTGGGCAAGGTGTACATGGTTTTTCCTGAGCTGTCTTTGCTGACAAAAAAAATTTGCAATTTCTGTGCTCATTGGACTTGTTTTAAATAATTTCATCATGGTAATTTATTACACATGAGATGAACCCCAGGAATTTCAAATTTAGTATTTTTAATGCTTCCCTTTTAGAGTCTTCTCAGTGTTCCTATTTTCCCAATTAGCCACTGTGTTGGTATTTTCTGATTAAACATGTCTTTCTGGCTGTATCATTAGGAACCTTTGGGGTTTGGGGTTTTTTCTCTTCAGTGAAGCCCTTTTGGATCTGGTAAATCTGCCAAATATAGCAAATTGTTGGACTTAATTTAGATTTCGAAACAGAATGAAATTATTTGTCCTTATGTTGTGGGAGTTAATGGACCAAGTCCTTACTAACTCACTCATCTTCTATTTCATTTTTTTCGGTGAATTGGAAAAAAAAATATTTTGAAAGCAGATACATCATTTGGAAGATGTGTAAAAAAGCAGTTTTGCTTTCTGATGTTGTGTCCTGTCAGGACACAAATACCCAGTGCTGGTGTGGTGAGTGAGGTACATTCACACACCCACCCCATGAACAGCGGTGTTAATGACAGCCCTGTGCCACAGCAGGCTGTCACCACCAGGGACCAGCCCCCCCTGCACCCCTCCTGCAGAGCAGAGAGGTTTCTGCACAGCTAAAACGAGTTGCCACTTTAAAGTGGGCTCTTAATTGAAAATGTGTCTGCAGTTTCCAGTTTACCTGCTCTGGTTCAGAGCAAGCCTTGTTCACGGGCATCTAATGAAGATAAAGATGTATAATTACTGGCCAGCCTTCAGCATGCAGCAGTAATTAGAGTTTCTGTTCTCTGGGCATTAGAGTGGGGAATAGAAAATGGAAGAAAAAGCTGCTTAAGATGCCCACTGAAATATAAAGATTAAGATTACATTTCTTTGGGTCTTTACTGTTGCTGTTTTTCAATGCAGCTGTCAAGCAGCATCTAACAGATTGATTATGTCTTCGTGGCTTAGCTTTTATTCCTAGCTTTTTGGTGTTGATTAATGATGAGGTTAAGCTCATTTTCCTTGCAGAATGAGGGTACCTCATTCTTCTTTTCGTTTCAGGGTCCACATTTATTACTCACTTCTTTCATCTGAAACTTCAAAGAACTTTAAAGAGCTGGTCCAAACTCTGCACTGACTCTTCTTGTGCCAAACTGCACCTACCTGAACACGGCTGAATATGTCAGAGCAGAACTTAGTCCATTGAAACAATATTTTTGATGACTTACCAGAAGTTATTTGGTCCAGCCTGACAGAATAACCAAAAAATGAGGTGTGTTATAGACTGTGTTTCACTAATGAGGACTGTGAGACACAGAAAGGTTAAGGTGTAAATTTCAAAGTACGTTCAAGTACTGACCATTTGTAGGTAGTAAAACTCCGACTGAACTAATGGGAAAAAAAGAGATTTTTGAGCAGACTTTATTTTTGCTGAGTTCTTAGTAAGGAATAAACTCTCAAGATTATTTTAATCAAGAATAAGGAGAGAAGAAAAATAATCTTCTTTTAATCTTTCATTTTGAAAAGACATTTGTTTCCAAATAGCCATTTTTTTCAAGGCTCAACAAAGCCTGGAAGTTTCCAAAGCAACACTTTCCAGTGCTCTGGGTTTTCAGCTTGACAAGTTAATTGAAAATCTGCATTTGGTTACCCTGAAAGGAAAACTGCTTTTTGTTCATTGTGTTTGATCAGACGCCTGAAAGTTGCCAGAAGTCGCAGTGCTGGAGCCAGCCCTGGGAAGAGGATTCAGCTCCTCTGCCCCTTTCTGTGCTGTGCTGTGTATTTCCTGGAGGACTCCTGAAATCGGAGCGTTACCCGAGCTGTGTGCTCTTCCTCCAAAAGCCCTGCAGCCGATCCTGCTGGAGCACCTGCAGCTGCGGAGGCTGCCAGGGAGCTGCGGCTTCGCCCGCATGGCAGGAGGCAGCTGGGCTCAGGGAGTGCAGGGGGGTGTTGTTGCTGCTGGCATCCCTGGCACAGCCTGGGCACTGCCCCAGAGCCCTGCAGGGCAGTATTTTACATGTGGCTGATGAATCTGTGCCTTGAGAGTTCAGTGAAGAAGGCTGTGCCATGACTTTCCATAATATAAAGGGATTTCTCCCACCAGCTGAACAGCCTTATTCCAGCCCCAAAAAATTTGATCCATCTTGGAAACAATCTTGATTTAAGACAGCGAATGTATGTTTTTATTTTCTGCAATGTCTAAACATTTCATTTTGATAGAAAATGATGAAATCACGTCCTGTCATGTCAACTCAGTTTCAGTATTCCTGACATCAGAATCCATCTGACCTTTTCACCTTAGGATGGAGCAACTTTAAAAATGAAAATGCTTTTTGTGCTCTGCTCTAGGAATACAAGACAAACTCAGAAAAATGCACTGTCAAAACTAAGAGTTGTAATAGTAACTGTGGAGTTCAGTTCGTGTGCTGCTGGTGTTGGTTATAAAGGGAGAAGGCACAATTTTAATCTCTCTCTGGTATGAAAAACAGACGTGGCAAAGATGAATTCTGAATGTGGAACCAATACAACAGACTTGCACCTCCCAGGAATTGTCTGGAACTCACCTAAAGCTGTTGAAGTTACTGGATTTGTCTCTTTCATATTCTGCCAATTCATCATTCTGATGTGAATCTTGGGAAGTAACCCCAGAGGTTTCTCTGGTGTTTTTTGCCTTTTTGTAATCATCCCTACTGAAAACCCCAGTGGGACTGCCACAGTCACTGTTGCCTGCACTTCCTTTATGTTTTTGAAAGGCTATAAGCTTATAAGATAAAAAACTTCTCTGTAAGGGAAAAAAAATCCAAATAATTTCTGAGTTGAGGCTCCTTCAGAATTCTACAGAGAAGTTACACATGCCATGTGAATGACTGGCTGCTCAGCCCAGTTTAGGATTTTCACAGCCACTAAATGACTTCATTTTGTTTATCTTGCAGGACTATCCAGACATTGTGTTAGGTGTGGAAGGGGTTGGTGTTGCTAAAATAAAAATACATGTGACAAGATCTCCAGCTGACTCAAACGTGCTCCAGTCCAAGGACTGTGTCAGTATTTGCTGAGGCTGAGCTCACGTTCTGGAGCTAACAGAGGAGTTCTCAGAGCTCAGGTGTCCTGAGCACCAGCTGTGGAATAGCTGCAGGGTTCCAGAGCTCTCAGAGGCAGCTGGATGATCCAGGCTGATCCTGGACATGCATCTGTGCAGGAACAGGGGGCTGGGTGAGTTAGGAGGGCTGGGGTGGAGGGGCTGTAATGAGCCTGAGTTATTAATGCTGTCCTGCTCTGCCTTGGTTCCAGAGAAGGAAGGAATGGTGCTCTGATGGTTAAACCTGGGATGGGATTTTAGGCATTGCAGGTTCTAATAAGGGCTCAGCCTGCTCACAGCATGTGACACTTGATTTTCATTTCTGCCTTAACAGGAGTGCACAACAATGGGATATCCCTGGGATGGTTTCTGGGGTGCTGCACTGAGCTGTGACAGTGTGGGCTCTGGCATTGCTTTCAGCTGGGCCATGGCTGTGCCACTGTGGGCCCTGGTTTATCTGATCTGTCTCAGCAGACACACAAAAGGTGTGTCATGCTGCTGAATTACCTTGGCAGACAAAGAGCATTAATGCTAAATCCCCAGGAGATGTGAAATGTAATGTGTAAGCATCCATTGTCAGCAGGGCTGTTAATAACATCCATAACCCTAACTAGGACAGGGCACAGGCTCTCCAGAAATCACTCCTGTTAAATTTCACTTCATCACAGCCCATACAAAATTCTGTCA